GGCAGGTAGGGGCCGAATCACTAAATCTGAAGGAGAGAAACTACAGTTAGATTCCACTATAGGGTGTTGGGTTTGCAGAAAATTAACACAAAAATGTAAAAGTAAGAAGAGAATACCTCTTTCTTCTTTGGTAACAACTGGAGGGGGAGTTGGGGTTTTCTCAGGCTTGCTGGAACTGGGAACCTCTTTCCTACAGCACTGATCAGGAGACCATTTCTGAGAGAGCATGGAGCTTGGAGTGGGCACTTTCAGGGACAAGGTAGACTCCATCTCCACCTGTTCGAAGAAAATGTACTTCACAGCCAGGAACAGGGCGAGACCCAGTGTGATCACCTGCTCAATGTCCATGCTGATCATCCTAAATGCACAGAATAAAATAATAATCACATCATATCCTTGCTATTGTTACTATTATTATGGGGAAGTCATGGCCTAATGGTTAGAGAGTCGGACTCGTAACCCAAAGGTTGCGGGTTCGAGTCTCGTACCAGCAGGGATTGTAGGTGGGGGGAGTGAATGTACAGCGCTCTCTTCCACCTTCAGTACCATGACTGAGGTGCCCTTGAGCAAGGCACCGAACCCCCAACTGCTCCCCGGGCGCCGCAGCATAAATGGCTGCCCACTGCTCCGGGTGTGTGTTCACGGTGTGTGTGTGTTCACTGCTGTATGTGTGCACTTAGGATGGGATAAATGCAGAGCACTAATTCCGAGTATGGGTCACCATACTTGGCCACATGTCACGTCACTTATTAACAATGCACAATATATCAGTACCACACTGCTTATCAGCCAATATTAGAGTTTTTTTATTGTATCTATTGATTTTGGATAATTAATTGTGCATGCTCATTTCTCCTATTTTTACATTAAGATTATCTTTGCTGTTATCTAACACTCACTAAACTGATATACACTAACACTCACTAAACACTGTTAAATGCAATCTTTAGCAAATCTCAAAATAGATTTCTATGTCAAATGTTTATACTGCACATTATAATGTTGTGTATCTATAGTCAAATTGATACATAGAACTGTGAATTTTGAACTACTGATACATAGAATTTTAAGAAAACATTAATGGCCAAAACATTCTTATTAATTAAATGAATAAAATCTCTGAAGTGTGCCTACCTGGATAGGTAAAAGTGCCAAAGGGGCATGTCTGGCTCAATTCTCTTGGGCATATTGTCATTCAGACTCACTCCAACTTCAGGAAGATCACGAGTTCCATTACTTGACGTGGGATCTGCAATCCACCGGCTATGAGCGTGAACCATGACCAGGCCAAGAGACTGCAAATATTAAAAATGATCCAGACCATTAGAAACAAAACCTTCAATATCATAAATCCCAGTATCAAAAGACTGTAGTGTTTTTGGTTCACTGCGTACCATGATCATTTTGACTCTTTGTGTGACAGGGTTAGGCTTGTTGTCCTCTTCCTCCTCCAGAACTCTAGCAAAGTGACTCAGCTGCCAGATGGGTCGTCCCTCCCTGCTCTCTCTAGACAACTATGTAAAATAGGCACATGTTAGAATATGTTCTAGTCTTCCTCTATATGTACTGCACTGAAATATGCTTACATACCTCCAGCACAAGAGAGACACAGGCCGGGAAGAATGTCATGAACACAAAGTAGTTAGCCAGGACAGACATGCAACCAAAGCAGCACATGATCTCAAGCTGTCGCACACCTGCAGGAAAACAATATAAAGGACAAAATAAAGATCACTGCTGCCGAGTTAAACAAGTCTGTTTAATTTTAGCACATTCCACCTGTGCTGATTTTCTGTCTAATGTGGAAGGGTGAAGTTTACCTGACATTGTCCCTACACCGATCACCAGGCACTCCACAAGGGCATCAAGAGTAAAAGTGGGTCCTAAAACAGCCATTCCTTTGGCAATATTCTCTCTCACCTCATCCTGCAGGACAGCCAAAAAAGCCATTTACGAAAAACTTAAGACTGACATGATTAGTCCTATTTATTTAAACCCAATTTTAATGTAGGTGAAAAGGTAAAGTACCTGTGAGTTTGAACTCAATGCAAACTTGGCCAGAGCACATGCTTTGGAGAGGTCAATCAACAGCAGAAAGAATGGCAAGGCCTCACTTGGAAAATTAATACAAAATATAAACATTTAACATTATATATTTACAAATTATTTTCCAAAAACAAAGCAGTACTTCAAAGATTTCTTGTGAGAGTGATACAAGACACAAATGTCCATACTTGAGACCTGTCAGCTCCTTGTCCAGGAAGTGAATCACAACTGTGCTGAACACAAAACTGGAGAATATTGTGAAAAGTCCTGCAATGCCTGAAAAAGAAATGTTAATATAAACATTAACACTTGTAATTCATGTTACACTACAAACTCCTTTTTTTTTAAACAGGTTAAAAAACTACAACTCACCCAATATGTATTTGGATCCTAACTGTCGAAGATTTTGGAACTGAAAGTAAATATAGACGATCGCTATGCATCTTGTGATTGTCAGGATAATGATATCACTGCTTAAGATTAGCTGAAGACAAAACAGAGAGGAAAAAAACAACGGGGATAATAATTTAATTTAATGACACAATATCAGTAGATAAATCTTCACTTTAACTGCCACCATGAGCATCAAATTTATGAAAGCAATACAACATTTATTTCCACAGTAACACACTGTACCTCCTCCAATTTGGGGCAATCAAAGTTCCAGCCACAAATCTGGTTATTTCCAGTGAACATATTCATGGACATCATGCAGATGGTGAGAGTCACAGTAGCCACAATGACTTCCCAAGGATGGGAGGCCACAAAGAGGCCGTGGATTCGGAAAAGTCTCGTCAGCATTTTGAAGGTGTGTTACAGTCAGTTACTGTAGATGACAGAAAGCAAATGTGAGAAAAGAAAGGAAACTTGTCAAACAGGATTACAATGGCAGATTTATGAATTACGAACTTTATTCTGTCACCTCATTTCTGTCATTTATTCTGTCAACGCTGCAGTTTCAGAAGTATGAAATCATGCAAGAAAAAACATTACAAAAAAAAAATTATATAAAAAAACACTTAAAGTGCTCCAAGGGTATAACTTATATTTTATTTAAATAAAAGTTGTTTTTGAGTTGTTTATAGAAATGGTCTTTATTACTGAATTTACACTATACTACAGTAGCATCAGATGGCTTGACATAAATATATATATTTCAAATTATATATATATATATATATATATATATAGACACACACATACACACACAAAAAGCTGAGTCACCTAAACACCTACATTTCGTGTTCTGCTTTCTAAGCCTACATCACCAACAGTGATGATAAAACATGAGTCACTGATTCAATCATGCCGAAATTAACTGGGGGAAAAAAATCGACATTCGAAACTTGGATCATGGACAACACTAACTAGGCATGTCTAAAATAAAAGCTTTGGCTGTAGATCTGATGCGGCTACTTACCAATAAGGGTCAATGAGGGTTTACGAATTAGTACACCAAGAGCAAATCACCTCCACATATGCGGCTGATTAAATAAAAGCCTATATATATATTCACTATTATAAATTAACATTTAGCGGTGCTTTTCATGATTAGAGTGGCCGAAATAAATAAATATAGACGATATTAATCCATATCCCGCGACGTTTGAGGACTCCGGTCGCCAAAACCGGCATCCTCCTAGCTTATGAAGCGATGGCATGGCTCTGCGTCAGTAGAGCGGAGAGCCAATCAAATCCTCGAACCATACAGCTACGCGACAAAGCCACGCCCACTTTCCTGCGAATGTTGTTGAGGGCGTGTCCTGACCATGGTGCTGGTCCTGACGGAGGACGCGTGATCTGGCCATCATTTGAATTTGTATGAGGTCGGTGTGTGAACCTTGGCCCAGCCTTGACCGCAAAAATATCCGACCTGGTAACGTTAACTATAATAGATACAGGAATAAGGAATGTTAATTAATCTGGCTAACCTTTTATTTTTTTAACAATAACAATAATCTGATCTAATGTTTGTTCTGTTTTCATTAAACATTTCAGAATTTATAACTTAAAATAATAAAAAATAATATAATAAATAGATCTATAATCAAATAAAAAAGCCAGTAATTAGCATATAGTAATTTGGCCTGCAAATATCTGTGCTCGTTTACTTTGTATATAGCAGCTTTTCAGATCTCTGTATTCTTTAAACTGATTTATATAAAGATGATCAGCAAGTATGTGTGTGATGTAGGGGTGTTGCAGGCGCTCTTGTATGTATCTACTGAACTTTAGAAATGCGTGCCACCGACATGATAAATTCTTCTCAGAACTATATATATATATATACACCTTGCTACGTGTACTGCGTTAGGCTAACCGAGACTTGTCATTTGCACTTATATATTGTTGCTCTTTTGTTAGTTTTGACTGCTTTTATTGTCCTCGTTTGTAAGTCGCTTTGGATAAAAGCGTCTGCTAAATGACTAAATGTAAATGTAAATGTAAACTAAGTTTGCCTGAATTCTTACTCATCACCATACAAAAGCAAATCACTTATGTAGTTGGTGTTTTTATAGATGCCCTGTTATCAGCCATAATGTTCGATAACACGAGAATAAAGCAGTGTAGTCTGTAAACATTTTTCAAAAATAGAATTCATTTTATACGGTCATTTTAAGTCATTTTTAATTAGGAAAATTAGTGCATCTTTAAAAGTAAACAAAAACGTTTATGAATAAAGCAATTGCTAAGATCTTAATGATTTTTAATCTATTTATGTATATTATTTTAAGACAACAGATTAAAATAATAATAATAATAATAGAAACATTAAAAACCCCTCTCTATCAGATCTTGATTTGACCAATCAGATTAGAGCTATTAACCCAATTTGCCGCCAAAAAACAACAGAAATGATAACACACCTTCATCCGTTGCTAAATATTCCCAATGTAACGAGACGTTGCGTTTATATTTAGTGTCTTGTGTCGTATTGTTAAATGCAAACAAATATGGATTTAGAGCAGGAGGAAACCATCGCGACCGACGACGACAGTGGTGAAGCAGACCAGGGTTTTTACCTCAGCAGGTCAACTCATTAACGGCTAACGGATGCGTTTCTACGTTATGTTCTGCGCCAATAAATGGAGCGAAAATGTCAGATTTGCAATGCTAACTACTGGTTGATGTATTATTGTAGGTTGATGTTGACAGAACATCAGTTCTCATCCCCCACTGTCGCCTCTCTTCGTGTGCTGAGTGAAGGTATGATCATATAACGTTACTGTAGTCAAACTAAGCTCGTCCGCGGGTCATTTCTTCAGTAACGTTAATGCCATTTTCGCTTTCGGTCCACTAAAGAGTTTTTTTTTCCCTAGATTTTTTTTTAGTTGTGCTTGAATCTGCGAAATTTGTATCCATGATGCTAGGGTGTTGTTGCTTACTACACAGTACAGTAGTCGTTGATTTATCAAGTGACTCGAATCTTTAGAATCGGTTCAAGACGGTTTGAGAATCGGTCTTAGTAAGCACCACTAATTATACTAGCATTCACTGTACAGTTCCAGCAGCAGCTGAAGTAGTCTCTTTGTTTGACAGAGATTTCCCCGCAGATTGACCTGCAGTGTCTCACTGGACAAAGCAGAAAGACATTCACTACAAAACAGGTAGATTACATTAGACGGCACATGCTGAGGTCCTAATCAAATCTACACTTCAGCATTTCTACATATATTATGTGTTGAAGTCTCTATTATTTTGTTACAAGCAAACCCACAGCACTGTGGTTACACCAACAAGTCCTGCAAGGTTTGTAAACCTTTTTTAGACTTAAAAAAATATGCATTCAACTGTAAAATTCACAGAATAATAATTTGCTTTGCTCTGTGTTTATCAGAGTTAAAGCTCTTGTTAACGAAGAAGAAAGTTCTTCAGAAAGGGAACCCAGAGAAGGTAATCCAGTTGATGCACCTAGTCTGGAAAAGTAAACCTTCGAACTTTAAACAAGTTTCATAAGATCCTCAACTAGATAAATAGCTCTTCAAAACGTTTGCAATGTGAGCTATAGGGATGGGCGTATCGATCCAAAGTATCGATATATCGATACTGACGCGAGTATCGAAAGTATCGATACTCAAACAAAAAATATCGATACTAAGGTGTGTTTTATTTACCAGTGATTTTGTTAATAAAAAAAAAACCGTACAAATATGCATTGAATTGGACGAATAACCTTTGTTAGCGAGTAATTGTGTAGGATATAACTATTTTCCTGCTCATCTGAACACACGCAAATGTTGCAAGACAGAACTAATCGTCAGAGAGCGTTCACTCACTTATGATAGTGCATTCAAACAGGGCTGCTTTTCCCAAAAGTATCATAAGAAAGCATTAAATCTTTTGGGAACAGCATCCCTGAACAATGCTTATCAGAGGACAGAAGGACAGAGTTATTTCACAATAAACAAACTGAAATTGTAGCCTACATAGTTTGTGCAATTACAGTTATTTAAATTGAACGTTGAAAGATAATATTGATCATGTTCTATTCTGTAATGTTAATAGAAATCATACACTGTCAGAATAAAAAGGTTGCATTTTATTCATAAAACAGCCTGTCACTGGCAGTCCCTTATGATAATGAACCATGATTTTACTAAAGTGACCATAGTTCAACTGTAGTATTTATAGATTTGAATCACGTGTAAACAAAAAACATATCTGAACCATGTGTAAACAAAAATATAACCTAATAAATTACAATTAAGGCGTATTGAATGTTAAAATGTGTTTTAAACATAAAGTTAAGTGCTTATCATTACCCATTTTACTCTTAGTAATTTCATTATTTAATAAATTTCATAATTTAAAAGTTTAATTCAGAAGTATCGAATCGGTATCGATATCGACGATACTGCCTTGAAAAATATCAGTATCGTATCGAAAACAAAATAAGTGGTATCGCCCATCCCTAGTGAGCTACACACCTGATCCACCCTATTTCACGGTTTTGGAGAATCGATAAGCAGTTCAGACTTCTGATCTTTGGCTAATTCGTATGTAACTTCTGCCCCCTAGTGTTGAGACCCATTCCCATAAATGGCACCATCTCATTAGATGCTTCTCACCAGCAGTCTTGGCCTACTTTGAGACGTTCAGTGAGAATAAATGGCAAAACAGTTGGAACAAAAGCTGATCCTTTGGCCACAATGAAGAGCACTCAACTACTGAATACTCAACACAGGTCAATCAGGCATATGAAGTGCGCATATGAGTAACTTTCAGATTGTCGATTGCAAAAACATACAGTAGGGTCTAAAACCATATTGTGAATATTTGAGATTCAAAATCTAATTTAAACCTGAAAATAAATGAAGGTTCAACATTTTGAAAATTTTTAAACAATGAAATGTTATAATGTAAAATTAATTACTAGGTAACTAATCAAAGTCAAAGATGCTCTTTGGAACTTATTTTGACATATTATCTAATCCAACTTTTCATTCTAACTGTTAAGCTGATCATATAATTTGTGATTTTAAAAAGTTGATTCAGTTAGAAAAATGCCAAATAGAAGCATTTTCCTAGCATCATCTCAGACTTTTGGATCTCACTGTATGTTACTCATTTAATTCAGCTGCTCCATACAGTGTAAATCAGCTCAAAATTACTGATGATATTTACTGAAAAATAAATGTTTATTTGCTGTTTATTTACAGGTCCCTGCCTTCTAAAAGGAAGGATAATCTAGACACTAAAGAGTACAATAAGGCATTCAATACACCTTTGACTACACATGATAAACCAACATTACTGGCTAAACCTTACATTAGTTCAGGCAAGTGCTCAAACCTGACCACACAAATTAAGATCAGTGCAGTGTATACAGGTAACATTACAGCATGTATTCTTGTTGATGTTGTTCAGAATGATGAATCCATGGTAGAAATGAAACTTGACAAAAGCATATGTGTGCCTTTATGAGGTACTCTTAGATAACTGTGTTTGTTAGGTTTCAGTGGCAAGTCAGAGAAAGTCCTATCACTCAAGTCCATCCACAGACGGAATCATTTTGGAGAGACAAAGCTGCATTTAGCTGTGATGAAGGGAGACGTTCAAGACATCAAAGACTTGATCACAGCGGGTGCTTTCGTTAACATACCAGATTATGCAGGTATAACATGTTGGAGGATATCATAAAACATAAAATTGTTCATTACCGCTATAGTTTTTCATTAGGAGTCGGACACTGCATATTTCACTCTTTTATTCAAATCATCCCACAGGCCTTATTTGGCCCCCAGGTTATAGACCAATGGTCGAAGTTAGCACACATGTCCACCTGATGGCAGCGTGGACTAACACTTCTCAACTTGAAGGTCTATTCATTTTCAGGTTGGACTCCACTCCATGAGGCAGTGCAGAGAAACAAGTATGACATGACAGAAATTTTACTCGAAGCTGGAGCCGAAGTCAACTGCAGAGGACATAATGGAATTACACCTTTACATGATGCCATATATTGTCAGTATTACAAGGTGTGTAAATTGCACACAATGGTACTCAGATGTAGTATTCATTGTTCAATTAACACTAGTTAGTATTATTAAAAATGTGCATATAAAATACACAGACTGTGATAGTTATTATTATGTTGAATACTTATGCTTACAGATTGTAGAACTACTTCTGAAGTATGGTGCTGATCCATTATCAAAGTGTGACAGAGGAAAGACTCCTATGGGCTTGACCACAGACAGATCTATGTACATACTGGTGGAGAAATATCTGCAGAAGTCTAAAAGTGATCCAGGTCTAAACCTCTTGACATGCACAAAACAGGTTTAATACACAGGGGCTGGACAAAATCATGTCAACACCTGGGAAATAGGCAATATTTCTTAATAAGGTGTTTTAACGCTGTTTGCCTTTAATACAGCTTCCAACCTTAGTCTACAGTTGGATGTTGTCTATCACAACATCTGACAGTTGCTTCAGAGATGATGGAATCTTCTAATTTTCTCACCAAAACTATTCAGAGTGGTTTGATAATATTCAAGTCAGGTGATTGAGCTGGCCAGGACAGATTATGAAGTGCGTCTTGGTGCTCCCAGCTGTCCAGATTTTATGATCATAACACCTTCATCTTTAACAGCACATAACATATTTTTTGCATTTTAGCAGTGTTGTCTTGGATTAAAGTTTTAGTAATTGCAGCTCTTTCATGGATGTTGGCTTTGTGAAGTTCTCTGTGGTCATTTTTTGTGGAAATAGGGTCTTCAAATATGAATAATGAGGTTTGCTGAATAATTTACTTTCAGTTTTTGGCCACTATTCTTCTTCGCTGATGAAGTCTTTCCATGCTTTGTGTATGCAGTCATAATAATAAAGAATGCTGTACTTAAAAACAATTGGGCTGTTAAGGTAATAGATGCGCCTCTTAAATGGGCTCCCATGATTTGTCCTTTTTGGAAGTCTGACAAGTCAGCCATTACCTGGAGCGCTTGTACTACTAACCACTGCTGAACACAACTTATACAACACTGATATACAAATTAGAGAATATTTACAACGAAATAAATAAAAGATAATTGTTTTTTAGCCTATATGAATTATATTATTCCTATAATAATGGGTGTTCACATAATTTTATCCAGGCCATGTATATTTATGTGTTGCATATATATATATATATATATATATATATATAATGTCTCCTACAATACAAAACATTTAATATAAATTGTAAAAATTGGTTTGTTTTGCTGTATTTGGAAATAGCTGAAAATCCACCCAGCATCACTGATTCTGCAGTTAATCCAAGTTTGAACCAAAGAAACAACCAGAACTCCATCAAAGTAAGTAAAAGATGTGTCATTGGATAAAAAATCTTCTGTCACTGACTGTGGCATCATTACATGATCTGATTACTGATCAGTTACTTTTGTTTCATTTCTTTTGTTTCATTTAACTTCGAGGACACAAGAGCTCCTCTTCAGAAATCAACAGGAACTGCTGATACAAGTGAGCATGAAAGCAGCCTGCAGTCTGGTGAAGCTGAACCCATTCCTGGTCCAAGCAGAGGACAACCAAGCTGTGATCCATCCATGAGGTTTCAGGCCTCTTTCAAAGGTTCTCTACATTACTGAAGGGTTGTGGGGACTAGATATGGCTCATGCAGTATTTAATAGCAGTAAACGTGCACCCCTTGACAGTCTCATCTAGTTACAGTGATGATCACAACATTTATCCAACAGTGAAATACACATATGTTCAAATTCAGTTGATGTGGTTTTGATCAAAGATATGGTCAGGTTAAGTTAGCCAGCTTAAATTAGAACAAAGATTGCTTTTAAGATATATAAAATACTTTCTTTTAGCTTAAAGGCTTTGATATGAAAGAAAGTTTTTTAGAGGGTGTCAAGTGTAAAATTCATCCTCCTGTAGTAAGGCTAATTATTTTGACAAATTTTGTGTTTGCAATAACAGCTCATAATAAAGTAAAATCAAATCTTGTTGTGAAATAAAATCAAAAGTTTTTTTTTTAAATAAAAGTTTATTTTGATTGTGTGCTAAATATAATAATATTTTGTGTGCTAAAAACACAATAATTGCTTAAAAAAAATTAGGTTTTTGTAACAATATCCACCTCAGCATTTAATGTTTCAAAATGACACATTAGCAAGCAAAGCCATTTTCAAATTGAGTTATGTTTTACCCACAGTTTTATTTACTAAAGCTATTTTCTTAAGCTTCATCGACTAAAATGAGTGCCTTACGTGCTTGGTGCATGCATAAGACAAAATAAAACAAATAACTGCCCATTCATTTTGAAGCATGCTGCACATGCAGACTATATTTCACCGTTACTAACAGTAACTGCACTAAGCCACATTGTGGAAACTTGTTGGAGACACGTCATTGATTGTCTTTTTAATTTAAAAGTTAATGTTAATTTAAAGTTTTTATTTTTTATTTTTGCCTTTTATTAGATAGCATATCTAATGTGAGGCTCAGTGTGAATTGGGGTGTTGTGTGTCCTCATTTCCCAGTGGAACCATCACCTCAGACTAGCATCAATGTACTGTGGCCTTTGAGGGACCAAGAGCAGGACTTGTGTAGCCAGAGTCCCTCACTGGTTCAAGATCAGGAGAGCGAGGGATCAGACACCTCAAGCTGCCTAGACAGTGATGTTACAGTGGATTATATTGAAGATTATTCATCATCACCAGAACATTGGACTCTATGTGCCACTCAAGATTTCTCTGGTTCCTAGAGCAGTAGGGATGTTTCAGTGGATTGTCAAATATCTGATAAGTTCATTTAGTTGACATTTGACTCTTAAAAATTGGGTTATTTTCTGTAAATTAGTTCTCTTATGTTCTTTTACATCATTTGTGCTGCATGCTTAAACAATGATACTAATGCAAAATACATTATAAAATGTATAGTCTGGTATAAAATCAAAATGTTGGAATTTTACAGATGTATGTTCTACCACAATTTAAAAATTGTTTTACATTAATTACATTTGTTTTGTTATGTGAAGTAAGTAGTGTTATACAAGTATGTAATTTAAAATGCATAATAGCAGATCTACTCATTTCCCTTGTTAGGAAATTACTGTATGACACAATGTGGAGTTCCCAGAATAAAGAAATTAGGTTTAAACAGTTGTCTCCTGAAAATGGTTGTCTTTGTAAACATAAAACACTTAGGGGGAAATTTATATTTGTTGCCTTTATATTTTATTCTATCTTTATTTGTTTCTATTATTACTCTTAGGGGAGGCTGGTGAAACTGATGAATGATGGCAGCTCAATAGCTGAGGAGACGAGCTCACTTTTTTTCCATGACCATAGCTCTTAAGTGAGTGGTTTCTTTTGCACTAAACAATGTCTGTCATGTGAATTTTGCATTGTAATCCAAACCTGCTCAGCATTTTTATTTCATGGACTATTTCAGATTACTGATAAGGGAAAGCCAAGTCAGAGCACTGTGGAGATTCAGATAAAGTTCGCTCCACAGCAGCAGGAAAGAGGATATTGGAAGGTTGTCAAGACCATTATGGGACTGATATTAGGGATGATAATGACTCGCTGGTTACGAAAAGGATCAAAAGATCAAAACATGACATTCAAATAGAAAAAGATTTTCTAGATTACTTGCTCAGCTTTGTTCTGAACTATGTCTTTGTTGATTTTGAAAGTAAAAACAATGTAGATGGCCCCGCAATTCAACAGAATGAAGATGCAAGAAAAGATCAACAGTCAGCTCTTGATGTTTACCAAAAGGTTCCGTCTGAAATTGAGTGCTTGCCATCAACCAGCCCTGCCATTGAGTCTCTCCATGTGGATAGTATCTCTGGCTGTTCAGAAACCTGTATAAGTTCACCACATAATGATTTGACACAAACAAGCATCTCCTAAAACACTGCCCCAAAAGAAGCCTCTAAATCAGGATGAAGAATCAGACATGATCACCATTCAAACCAAGCAGGGGGTGGTAGAGATAATAGAGACAGCACAAAGCACTAATCAGACAAAAGTGAGTAAGAGCTACACTGAAAATGATGGCGTGGAATGTGAAGAGCTAGAAAGTGACACATTGATTTCAAATGCGACAGATCTTAAAAGACCTAAAGCAGAACCACATTCTTCTTGCAGGGGGGTAGTTAATGAGCCAGTGAGTGACGTTCTAAAAGATCATGCGAGTACATGTCCTGTTTCACCAGCTTTTTTCTGTACAGATGTTGAACAGCCTGAAAATCCTCACATAGCTGATTGTATTGTAGAGAATCATACAGTTAAAGATTCAGCTGATTCTGACTGCACTGCAGTGGAATGGTTCAACACTGCTGACATTCATGGCTATCACATAAATTCAGTGTGAACTCTTTGGTTCTGAAGAAAAGCACAGATAAAAGGAAGCAGAAAACACAAAGGGCACACCGGACTCAGTGGCCTCAGTGAGTGTTTTGAGGCGATTTTTTCCTGAAAATTTGTGTACACTGGACAACACTGAAGAAACAGCACATTTAAAACATGATTCATACACAGCTCTGGAAATCAAAGGGCTCAGGTGAACTGAAAAGTCAGAAAAAGAAATCTAAATGGAATAAACGGCAGCTTAGACAAAACTCGTTGAAAGGAATAAATGATGCAGATGCACTGAATACAGGTGATCCCCTGGGGTTAATCGTAAATAATATCACTATTTAGAACATGGTACTTTATATACTGTTATTTCTCAACAGTATCAAAGAAGGTTTTGAAGATTCCACAGAAAACTCTTGACAAGAGAAATAGTTTAGGAGAGACTCAACTTCACCGGGCATGCATCAGAGGAGACCTGCAAATGGTCAAAGGCTTGATAGAAGCTGGAAGCAATGTTAATATATCAGATCATGCAGGTGGGAAAGCCCTTGCCTTGTTATGTGTATATTATTATCTTTCATCTATTTAATGCTTTCATGATGTCTTAGGTGGACAGGATGGACCGCCCTTCATGAGGCCTGTTCTAGAGGTTTTGTAGAAGCGGGGGCCGATGTAACCAACAGAGGGCTAAATGGATGCAACCCGCTGCATGATGCTGTTGCGTTTGGCTCATATGAGGTTCTGAATTTCTGTGATGATCTGTCCCAATTTTAATTGCCAGAACTCATGCACTATATTCTTTTTAAGTCAGACTACTTGTGTTATAGCCAGAATTATGTAATTGCAGCTAAAGCTCTATTATTCCAATTTGAATGGAAAACAAGTGTAAGAGCTGATTAATATTTCTGTAGTTTTCAATCTGATTCCCAGTTTGCCACCAGCACTTCACCAGCTCATTCACACTATCAGTCTGTACGCAAAAGTAAATGCAGTTTCAAAAGCAGTTAAAGTTCTGATCTTGATGTTTTATGCATAGACCGTGAGGCTTCTCCTTCTGTCTCCCTCGTGACAAGAATATGCAGGGACAGAGTGCAGCAGACCTCGCAGCACATGAAACCATCAAAGAGCTGCTTTTGACATTTAAAGGACCTTTTCGTAAACCTGTCCAGACAACTGACATTTCCAAACAGGGCTCTCAGCTTCTGGCTGCAGAGCAAATGCAGCCAGGTAAAATACTCTGCATGGAAGACACTGAAAAACAGTTTTTTTTATATCCATGGATATATTTAATGTATGTTGAGTTTATTTATTCACAGTTATTCTCAACAGATCAGTGTTTTCAGTCAGCAGGAGCAAGGATCGATTTTAGTCGCAATAGGAAGTCGAATTGCCTCATTAGAGATGGAATCATTCAACCTGGGGATGATAATTTAGAAATGAGACTTAAGGTACTTAATAAATCATTTGTCAGGTGCTGATCAAGACATTAGACCATTTCAAAGTTAGCTCGATGTTTTTCATAGTGTTTTTAAAGCTCTGATTAAAATATAGGGTTGTAGCCACAAGGCCTCTCTTTTGGAAAATGGATCTGTCAGAGCAGTGGCGTAACTTAGTAATGACGGGCCCCAGTGCAGGCTATTACAACGGGCCCCCTGGGGGTCACGGTTATGAAGCACATACAAACACACAGCGCTCGTGTCTAGAAGGGAACCCATATATGCAAATTTGTGCCTAACCTACTTAATTTAGACCAACTAAAATCAGTATCTTATCAGTTTCTTATATTAAATTGAACATCGAAACTCAAATTGAAACTCTTTGCATGCGTCTCTCTCTTAACACACACGGCTGGGCGCGCGCCTGGCCGCAGCAGCCAGAAGTAGCCTACCAAATTAATCGTGTTGAATTTTACAGTCAACAGCATGTGTTACCTATTGTATTTGCAAAGCACAGAAGGCAAGGTTATCAGAAGCATTGAGTGTTTCAGCGCTGTGGTGCTGAAATTACCGCAAACTTTTTTTTTTTACTTTTAGCAGAGTAACCCAGTAATCGCGGCAACCGCATTCCTCTCCGAAAAGCAAGAGACTAGATAAGAAAGAGGTCTAAAAATTATCAACACCATGTCCCGAATCATGGCCAACTTTAGCGGCAACAACCACACACAAATGTAATACCCACAAGCACATACACACAGTGGCGCCTGCAGGTGTACGGCTGTGCGCACTGTGCGTACCGTGAGCGCTCAGACTGACCTGAGATTTGCCCCGCAAACATTTCAGCAGTTATTATAGGCCTGTGTGTCCCGTATTTCTGTCGACTGAACCAGCCATGCCATTAATTATGAAAAATAGTAATTTAAAGCATTCTATAGATATATTTATCATGTCGGTGAAGCGCTCCTGTGCAAGACCAAGACGACAGAAAGCGCATCGTGTTTGTTTTCCTTATTTTACAAAAGCACAACGTTTTGTTGATATTGTGAATGCACACAAATAAAAGTAGACCCTTTACATTTCCGAATGTATTACTCTTACCTTTATGAGCAAAAATTAGGCGTATTTTAAGTTTCCACTATCAAGAAAAAAATGCAAGTGAGTGATCGCGCTGGCGCCTCCATGTCCTGCGAAGCGCCTTCAGCTTCCACTCTTCACACAAACGATTGGATATGCGCCTAATAGCGCACATTTATATCGTTTAAACATTTAAACTAACATTGTGATATGCTTAAACTGTTTTATATCTATAGATTTTATTCTAGGCAAGTCGTGATTATTTGAGAAGGCTAAATTGATCAAACATAGGTTATGATAAGCTTACAGTCTGCCGCTGGCCGCTTGGTCGTTACTTAAAAAAAAAACTTACATTTAAAACATAGGCAATGATAAGCCTCCGTCCGCCGCTGGCCGCTTGGTCGTTACTTTAAAAAATAAAAAATGCTCCAAACGTTTTTCTAAATTAACTTTTATTAGAAATTAAACTTTAACATTACATAGCCTATACACTCTCAAGGAGACCCCACATAAATGACAAAAAAAAAGAAAAGAATTAGTGCTGCTGCTAGGGTGTTTCTGTACAATGGCTGAGGGAGTGACGGCAAATTTGACGTCAATCTCAATATTTTTCCCCTCTTTTGGAAAGTCGTGGAAATGACATATAACAAATAAAACAAGACTATTCATTCTGTGTTATATTTTTATTTACGGGTGGGACGTGTGTCCCCACGACCCCCAGCCACTTTTTGCAACATCTCGCAGCAGGCACGGATGTACCTAAAGAAACATCTCCATTTGATAACAGATTCGTTGGTCTGTGTTAAACAACACGTGTTATGGCGAGCGCTCGTTGCTGATGTTATCAGTTCTCTCTTGGCACTCGTGCACAATGCGCAGTCTTCACACAG